TTTTTTTTCAACAAGATAATTTTTTATGATTTTTTTAACTTCTTATATAATTTAATTTTTATTTATAATAATTATTTATGAATTAAATTTTAGTATTTAAAATAAATTATTGATAAATAAAAATAATTTTATATTATAATATAAATTATTTATTATAAATTTAAAATATAATTTATATATTTAAAAATATTTGTTTATAATTTTAGAATCCTAGTAATAAAAATGAAAAGAAATTGAGTTGAAAAGTTAGTTTGTACAACCTAATTCCAAACAGGTTCGAAATAAAATGATATAGAAGAGGTTGGTGGATTTTGTAGAAGAAAAAAAATAAGTGAAGGAAATAATGTGGGGGAGGGATATTTCGGGAAATATAATTTTTGTAGTATTATTTAAATAAAAAGTACACTTACATCTTTCATATGTCGAATATTAAAAATAATAATAATTTGCATTAATTAAAAAAATATTTACTATCATTTTATTTTAATTCTTTTTCAACAAAGAGATACAACTCCCTTTCACTAGGTCGGTGATGGAAAAGACATGGAGTAAATTATATTTTCTTTAAAAATTTATAATATAGGGAACAACTTAGATTATTGTACATAAAGACACAAACACATTTACTTTATATTTTATCACACAAAATTAGCAAGTAGATTTAATATTTTAAAACAGTATTTAATCAACATAACAGAAAATAAAAAATAAAAAATTTAATTAAAGAAATATCGATTTAAGGTTTCAATCTGTATAGTAAAATCTTAATAGTTCAACAATAAATCCGAATTCTTAATCATCCTAATTCAGCACAAACTTAATAAAAAATGTAGATATAAATCTATATCTATGAATTTTAACAAAATATAAAACGCAACCGCGATCTCATAATTTTAATAAAATTCAAGAATGGTGAACAATTGAATTAGACAATTTAGGTTATTTTAACTCTAAATCTAAATCCAAATCCAAATTTAGATCTAAAATTAATCTTCGATCTTTGTTCTATATTCAAAACAAAATTCACAACCATGAAAAATAAAAAATTAAACCTAAAACAAAAAAAGAAAAGAAACAGAGAATTCGTTCAATAAAAAAATCAAGAAGTTGAATTTTACCGTAGTTCTTGAAACCTAAAATCGATTAACAAATTAACCACTCATTATAATTGTAACATTGTTTAAAAAAAAAGGTCATATAGCATTTCCAACACAACTACACCACCAACATACAACATACAACATACAACATACAACTCAACTTACTTTCAACTCTCAACCATTCATTATTTCTAATTATCATCATACATCAACATTTACTGAATTATTGTGTTTTATGTCAACTTTTAATTCGACATAGCTTTATGTAACTGAAGCAATAACACTCAAGTTGGTATAAAACTAAAGCTTTATTCTTTCTTTAGAATAAAAATTTTAATATTTAAATGTGTTGTGTAAAATATTTTAACTAGCATTTACTAGGAGTCATTATTCGCATGGTTAAGGATGGGTAGGGCTAGTTGACTTGTATGTGTTTTTGGCTTTGCCTCAAGTGTACACTTGTTTGACCAAGATGTTTTTCTAGAGCGAGGGTATTTCTACTTAGGTGTACAAAGAAGAGCTTATAAATTGGCTAAACGCCCTTTCAAGACTCATGTTATATCAATCAACTCATGGTTCATCTCTATCTTTTGGTTGAACCAACGTACTTCATAAGGAGGAAGGAAAGTTTATCCTATCATGTTGCTTCCTAACTTAATTCTTCCACTATGATGAAAAACATGTTAAATAATTCAATAGAATGAGAGATTGAATAAGACTATATCATATCTTGCTAACACAATAAATAATAAATTATAACATGATATAATAATCATTTTATCCCATCATACTATATCTTCCTATCAAACAAACTCTTAATTGATATACACACATTTAACTCTCAATCACCTTTCAACATTTTGCTAATTATCCAAAATACAACCTAAATTTTTTACTGTTCACACAAGACCAGAAGGATCTCAAATTCAAAGATGCCTCTTTAAAAGAGTTAGTTGAGAAATCCTTTCAGTAAACCCATGTTTGGACTAAGAAGTCCCAAAACGAGGTTTGCTTGTGGAAAACTCAACACCCTCAACTACTCGTGACCTGGTAGTTGGTACTATTGGATACATAACACATCGAAATTGCTATCACAAGATCATAACATAGTTTGAACGCAATTATTGATTAGATGCAAGGTGGAAACCCAAAAGTTATTAAGGTTATGATTCGGATCCACTCCACTAGTCCATTTCTTGTTTTATTTTGCAGCAACAGATAGGAGAGACCAACTACCACATTTGTTAGTGAAATTTTTGTAAATTATGACAAGGTGATAAGTGTGCCATTACCATAGCCATATGAGTTGCATACCCAACTACTCTCACAATCCATGGACTGCGGGATGCGTACACCGTCTTGTTGCATTAACATCATGCTAATTCATTCATTCATTATATTTAAGTAATAATGTAACACCTATGTATGAAGTGGGCCCCACCAATGGTGCCTGTGAAGACTGAAATCAAGTGAATTGAATGGCTTGGCTCAGGAACTGCCCCGGTTTTTTTAACTTTTTTTTTTCAAGGTATAATTATTTTCTATAAAAATCTGTCCAGCATCAAATAACACTCTTTAATTAAGAAATGTATATGTGAATTGTTGAATCACTTAATAACCAACTTTTTATATACATATATACACATTTTGTTTTAGTTATAACATTAACACAATCAATATTATTGGAATACATTTTAACTTTTTCCTAACTACCATAGTTAGGCTCTTTTGCTTTAGTCAGTTCCTTTGTGTTTAAGATTGAAAGTAGGTTAAGTTAGATTAAGTTTTATTAGACTTAGATTTGATGTTGATTAAAAATATATAGTCTAAATTTGATGTATTTATCTTTTATAGGTTTTTTATTTAAAAGATAAAACTTGCATATAATATAATAGCTCTTGTTGGTAGTATTATTTAATTGAAATTTGAGTTTCATCTTAGAAATATGCATCATAAATAATTTTATTAAATGTTAAACTCAAAATAGATTTGTTTTTTTTATATATATATATAATACTTGCATACAATATAATGTGTTGTTAGTAGTGCTATTCTAGTTAAAATTAACTTTTTTCCTTTTTATTTAATTATTTCTTACCAAATTAATTAATATTTGGAAAGAAAATGATTTCAAATTAGATGAGAGAAATATCAACGTACTTATTTATCTTCTCCGATCCTATTAAGAGAGAGTTAACGACTCGATATTATCCTTACACTAGATAACATATCTACTAGTAGTGAAACAACTACTAACTTATGGTCATAAGTTTACTCATGTTTGAGGATTGTACTATATATCATTCAAATAATATATAAGAAAAATTTATGTGATATAAATACAATAGTCCAATAAAAGCAAACTAAACAACTTAGGTTGTTAGTCAAGCAACTTCTATACAAAGTACTATGTTGCGTTAACACCAAAACATAACCAACATTGTCATCCTCTTGATAGTCATCTCAACTACAACACCTCATACTTATCCCTATTATATTTTTATACCACGTATGATCATCGTAGTTCAAACTATGTGGAAACATGCATGGGTAAATTAGAATTCAAAATAACACATATACAACAAGGATTATGAGCAATAGAGTACTTTTATAACATATCTCATATTTTTCAGCATCAGTATCACAACACATTCAACTCTATCAACATAACAACAACATCTGCTATAACACAAGGTCAACTTAAACAACACAACATTAACAACAAAATTTTCAACACATCAACATATTTTATCATACATCAATATTGCATATGAACAACACAATTAAAGCAACACATCAGATGTTCAACACAATAACTATATGTATTGTCACTCATTTCAACTATGAGATCTCCTACAACACAGGGTGAGAAATTTAAAGTGGTTTGACCCTATCGAACAAACAACATAGGATGATCTTTTTGGCTTGCTAGATCAACAAAAAATTGGATATTAGTCCACATTACAACAACTTGATTTCTCGGATGTCGTCTCTTAAACAAGAAAGTCTAGTACCATTATCAGGGTAGAATAATTGGGTATGGGCCTACCACAACATTAGTTAGCTTAACTAAGTTTTCTATGGGACTAGCCAATTGATTACCATCCAAATACTACGCCCTTTTAATACTCAGTTAGGAACTAAGTTTCCGACTTCGTAGTTTACTTGGTAGGTCACTTGTAAT